CTAAACAATCTGTTCCAGCTTGTATTTAGCTGTGACCCTCTGAGTAAATTTCCCAGACCTGAAGAAGAGCTCTGTGTAAGCTCAAAAGTTTGTCTGTCTCATCAACAGAAGTTGGTCCAATGAAAGATATTACCTCACCAACCTTCTTTCTCTAATCCCAAAGTGCTATCTACCAATGCATTTTGTTTGGGGTTGAAGGATCTGGAATACTGCTTTCCGCAACTTACCCAATCCCCAACATATTCAGTAAGAGCCACTCATTTTACTGCTTTGCTGGTGTCCTCATTGTGCTGATTAGTCTATTGTGGGACTTACTGGAGATGCCCCCTATGTTTCAAATTTCCTCTCACAGGAATCAGTTTGATTCACCCATTCAAAATTCCTGACTCTGAGTTGGTCCATTTGCTGCAGTAAAGATTCTCATCTCGTTTTGCCCAGCTATCTAGTCACCAGAAGGAATTTTTCAACTCAGACACTGTACATATTCACATATTTGGAAGGCATATATGAGATGGCATACTGAGTGCAATACTAATGTCTTCTCTTGTTTTCTCTGGTATATATTGGCAACAAACGGACTTAGTGTCCTTCATATTCATTTCCTAGTGATTTCAGCTATTGGTAGTTTTCTTGCAGTATAAGGGGAAATGACTCACATCCTATACCAGTGTATTTGTTAGACACCCTTCTACGATTCTGTTAACCCTCAGTTGGATTTGTCTTTGGTTTGGCCAGTAATAACAGTTCATCTTTTTTGAAACTCTAGAAGCAATTTCCTTTAAGCTGCTATCCCTCAAGGTAGTTTTTTGTAGTGACTTCCACTAGAAGAGTTGAGGAGCTGAATGCCATTCTTGTCTTATTTTCTTATTCCCCCATGTTCATTTTTTCCTTTGTAGGGTTGCCCTCCATCTCACACTTGAGTTTATCCCTAATGTGAACACTAGATTTCATATCAACATATCTATGGTTTGCCTTAACCTTGAGTGTTTTCAGAAAAGAAGACTGCACTTTCTCTAGGGTTAAACATTCTCCTTATCTTGTATTGCCAAAATTTTATTAACATGAAGCATGGTTTGTTGGCTTTAAGGCTCCAATCAAGAAATGGTATTTTAATGTAATGAGTCCCTCAAAAGAGAAAAGTGCTTCTGAGACAGCTCTTGCTTGATGGATCAAGGATTGCATCTTGCTGACCTGTGAACAGGCTAATGATGTAAGATGGCTATATCATAATTCATGGGTCTTTCATCTGTCATACCATTATAGCAATAAGTGAACAGAGAAGACAATCTATAGTTTTCTCCTTCTGCTTTCTCTCTGTGTATTACTTGAAAACCTAGGCGAAGATTTACCAAAGTGACTGGTGGGCTTGAATTTCAGGGAGAGGGCTGCTTAACGCTTTCTATAAATCAAGCACCTATAAGGCATCTCAAGTTGGGGATGTAAGACTTGAGGTACCCAAAATATATCCAATTTTGAAAATCTTGGTTAGGCTTTAAGACCATGCAGGAACCTAAAGTAACTTTCATAAAATCAGGTAAAAAGTATTTTGCTGTCTCTTTTGACTCTGAGGCAGGTTTCTGATTAGATGACAAAGATTTTTTTTTTCCTATCAGAAAGGATATTTTAAATGAGGAAAAATAATTATATATGAAAGATAAAAAGCAAAGTCTTGATATAAGTTTTAAATAGCATTTTTAGCAGTACTTATTCACAAATATACAACCATTAAGTACAGTAGATTCTGATGCAGCATTTCAGTTTGTACTGAGAGTGACAACCTTTCCAGCTATTGCTGTAACAGTTATGATGTACAATGCGGTTAGCTATGATGAACTCATAGTTATGCAGATTTGCACTGATGGGTATGCAAACACTTTAGTGTGGTGTATTACTTTCTCAGTGCTTGTTCCCACAAGTTGCAGTTCAAGGAGCCCTCGCTTTTTAGCTAATGACACTAATTTATGGTGCAAATTATAATATGCTATAAAATATGCAAATTCCAAGTACATTATTGTGACATATACTTTAGGGACAATAGTATATTATTTGATATTATTTGCTGGGGTTGAAAAGAGGGAAAAATCCTTCTAGTCATACAAGTTTGGTTTTCTCTCCCTACTTGATTTTAACCTGAATGTATCTCCAAATGAGGTCCTGAGATTTCTCTCCTCCCTTTTTACTGGAATCACTGTTTCCCCTGAATCATTCTCCCTCTAGCAGAAAATTACTGTAGCTGCGCTTTTTATTTCAGCTTGTTATCTTTACTTAATGGGTAGATAAGTAGTGTTCTGACAAACTGCTGATATCCTCTCCGAAGTCCAAGCATCTCACCTTGTCATGTGCCTGAGTTCCATCAGACTGGGAAGTCAGAGTCCTAATCTACTTCTGCATATACAAGTCAGGCATCCTGCACTCTATAAACACAGTTTTGATGAGGATTATGTTCAGTAAAGATATTCATTTTAAACTGTTCAATTTTATTCCCCCCCCTTGGACCAGATCCTGTGTTCCAATTAGGACTAAATCAAGATTTGCCTCTCTCCTTGTGGGTTGCAGAACTAGATGCTCCAAGAAGCAATCATTAATAGTGTCTAGAAATTTCATTTCTGCATCCTGTCCTGACCTGACATGTACCTAGTCAATATGGGGATAGTTGAAATCCCCATTATGATTGAATTTTCTATTTTTACAACTTCTCTAATCTCCCTGAGAATTTCATAATCACGATCACCATCCTCATCCTGGTCAGGTGGTTGGTAGTGTATTCCTACTGCTGTACTCTTATTATTCAAGCATGGAATTTCAAACTGTGGCACAATTTGATTCATTAAAGATTTTTCCTATATTTAACTCTATGCTTTCTTTGACATATAGTGCCACTCCTCCACCAGCATGACCTGCTCTTGTCATTCCTATATATTTTTTACCTTGGTATTACCATGTCCCATTGATTATCATTGTTCCACCAACTTTCTGGGATGCCTATTATATCAATATCCTCATTTCATACCAGGCACTCAAATTCACCCATCTTAGTATTTAGACTTCTAGCATTTGTATACAAAAACTTATACAATTTATCAGTACAGTACCCACCGCAGCAGCGGGGCTGTAGGAGCTGTCAGGAGGAGGTGTCAGCTCCCATCGCAGCCATAGAGGTGGAGGAGCTGTCACCCCCCAAAGCAGCTGCGGGGCTGGAAGAGCTGTCTGCCCCCGCCGCAGCAGTGGGGCTCGAGGCGCGATCCAGGGACTGGGTTCATCATAGCCAAAGGTTCATTATTATGAAGGGCGCTATAGCGAGGGTGTACTGTATTTAGTTGCCTGCCTTCATGCGATCTAATTAAATGGGACTCTTTTTTTCATTTGACTGTTTCTCTTCAGCTCCTACCTATACTTTACCAGCTTCTTTATACCAGCTTGAGCATTTTCAGGAAGTAAAAAGATTTGTCTGCCAACATTATGAGGTTAGCTCGATTGATAACAACAAATCAATGGCAATATTATTACATCGCTGCTGTAGCAAGAAAATGTCGGGAGTGGTCAAACACACAAGTTGTTACACCAGTTTTTATTTGAGTATGGAATAAAACATAGCCTTTGCAATGTTTTATGAATTATAGGTTTTTTTAAATATGAAAGAAGAGATATAGAAAGGGGATGAACATTATAATTATGCAAGGAAGTTAGGCGTACAATAATACATAAGCTTCTGTTTAATTGTAAACCTAGACTATTTTCTTTGACTCGGGGTTTGGTAGAAAGCTACAGATCACAAAAGATAGATATTCCTAAAGCAGAGCATCAGAACTGTGAACCACTTACTTGTCACAGACAGAGCATGGCTCTGTAGGAGACTTGGAAAGAGCTTCCCTAATGAGTTAGAGTAATTCAGCAGTTGGGCAAGGATGTAATTTAATCACATTTTTTAAATTCTTTGTGCTGACCATAGTGATCTAATTCCCAGGAGTAAATTCAAAATTGATAAGAAACCTCATGAGAATCCAATCTGAAGGAACTCTCATTTGGGAATATAATACTGTGAGAAAATGGACATGTTTTCTTATGTAAGAGCCCAGCGGGCTTACCTGGTTTATAGGAGATACTTGAATTTACAAAATCTGTTTACTTTTGCACATTAGGGTTTTGGGGGTTCCCCCCCTTTATATCAGTGGAGCTGAGACAGATAGTACACATTGTTGGTTTTTGATAAACAGCTTCAGCTGTTGGGTTTTTATTCTCTTGGCTCAAATGTAAACTTTCCATACTTTCAAGGTGTAAAGTAGTGACAGTCTTCATGTTTTAAGGGAAAGTATTTTGGTAAGTAACTAATTGCCTTTAAGTTTTAGTAAGTGCTTCTTTGAAAACTATAATGTAGTGTGACTGAAGATGTTTAACCCTGGTTACTACTGTATGTTTCTATTAGTAGAACATCTTTAAATATTTATTGTGATAAAGGGTTGAGCAAGCATGTTTTTCCTTTGCAGTTTTAAAACCTCTTTTCCTTCTACATATACAGGTCATGAAACCTAACAAACTTTGGCATTCCAATGATACACAGTTTAGTACTACAACAAGCTAGTTGTAATAGTTACTGCATATAGAAAATATTGGAATATATGTTGTGATAGAATTGGTATTTAAAACAGAAAATAATATATAGTACCTCTTGGAATTTTAAAAAATCCATAAAAATTTTATGTTTTATCTCGACCATATCTTCAGCATAGTTTACAATATCATTATACAATACAGTTATTGCTATGTGAGTTGCAGATTATGACATGACTAGTGTTATATTTTCAGGTGGGATTTTTTTGTTCAAATATTATGAAAAAGAAGGGAAAATGTTTCTATTCTATGTTATCATGCAGTAAATTGGAGCCTAATAATGATATCACTTAAAGTGATAGACATTTGATTTTGTTTTTCTCTTACAGAATTTTTTAAAAGAAATTAATTTACATAGTTAACAAAACTCTTTTCCCCCCCTTCTGTAGCAAATGGTACGTGAACAATACACCACAACAACACAAGGCACCAGCCTAGAGAGGCCAGAAAACCAATATGTCTACAACATTGGCATTTATGGCTGGAGAAAGCGTTGCCTCTACCTGTTTGTCCTCCTCCTGCTTATCGTCCTAATTGTGAATTTTGCTTTGACAATTTGGATTCTTAAAGTGATGTGGTTTTCTCCAGTAAGTGGCCTCATTAATTTTCCATTCTCTTTCTAGTCTTTACTAATCATATTCTCCTCCTTTGTTTGCCTTATGACCTCACCTATTTCATATGTATGCCAGTTTCTTCTTATGTAATAACCTTGTCTTTTTCTTACCTCATTAATTAGAATTTCTCATTCTGTTGGAAATACATATAGAATAGTCATCTTTTACAACATTCATCCCTCTATAATTTTTAAGTCATCATTTTAAATGATGTTTATGTTGATGACCTTACATTTACAGTTAATTCAAACAGTTCTGTGAGAGATTTTATTTGCTCTTGCCTCACTGTGTTTTTTCTGTCATTTACAAAGTGTGATTTCTCTAGTTTCATTTATACCCCGAGAATTCTTTAGTGTTCAAATGTTGTTCTCACTAATTCAGCTTCTCTTCCTATCTGCACTCAAACTCTGATTTTTTAATCACCTATCTCCCCACTATTTAAGATTTAGAAATTGATTTAGCAAATTAATAAATTAAAGCTCAAAGTATTTGAAACTACTTTATGCTTTAGGTTAAGCAACTACATCGCTCAAGAAGAAATGTAATAACTTTTCACTACAATATGTATATTATTATCATGTAATTTTTAAATAGTAGTTTAGAGTGTAACTTAGGTTAAGTCCGCAAGAGGAAACTTGAGTCAGAATACAATAAAATGCTTCAATGAATATCAAAGCTAAGTTAATTTGATCCTACCATGCAGTCTGTGATGCATAGTTGATTTGAATAGACTTATTACAAGGAAAACAATAACAGTAAATTCCTACTGTTCTGCCCCTGCCAGTCTGTAAAGAGTATTATGTTAACATTTCTATCATCTATCTTTATTATGCCAGTCACTAAATGAAGGGGCATTTTATCTTCATGGAGCTATGTCTATACTCTTCTTTCTTTTACTATAAGCAGGTGAATTTTAAGTGCCTCTTACTCAGCATAGTTATTATGATTGGATTCCTGTCAAGCTTCTTCCCCCACATAAATTCTTTTCAGCACAGTTTTTTTTCATGTGTACTACAGGTACAGAAGGTCTTAGATCATGTTTAATTTTTTAAACTATTATGCAATGCATTTGGAAGATGTGCACTTTGGTGACTGCACATCGTGAATCACAGTGAATGTAAGTGGCTAACATTTTGTGTGTGTGGCTCAAGTTCACAGTAAAGGTCACCCCTTCTCCACTTATTTTCCCGTGTCTTGGCACCACATGTGTGGCTCCCCTGTGTGGCCAATGGGTGGCTCCTTTCCTAGGGGACATGGAACATAAAAATTGGCAAAAACTCCCTCCCCTTTCAGGCATTCTCTGTGCAGGAACCCTGGTCTCTTCCTGCTTATCCACAAGGAAAGCTGCAAATGCCTCAGGATGGAACTGTAAGGGTTCTCTCCAGTTCTATATTGCAGGACCTGTGTACCTGAAATGTCCAGCTAAGCAGTGGCCTAGCTATGTCCCTGCCTAGCCACCTACCTATTATTGCATTCCAGGGGCACCAGAACAGGGGGGCCAGCGGGCCCTAGCTCCCTCCCCCACTTTTTACGGGCTGTAAGGGTGAACAACAGAGGAGGGGGCAGAGAGGAGCGAGTGGGGGCAGGGTCTTGGAGGGAAGAGGTGGTGCAGGGGTGGGGGCTTGGGAGAAGGGGCAGTGTGAGGGTCGGGGAGCAGGGAAAGGGGCGGTGCAAGGGCGGAACCTCAGGTAGAATGTGTGGCATGAGGGTGGGGACTTGGGGAGAAGAGGCAGTGTGGGGGCAGGGCCATGTTCTGGGTGCCTCTGGCCCCCTCACTTTTAGGGCGCTTCCGCTGCTCCTGTTGCATTCCTTTTTTTCAAACCCCCCTTATTAAACTCTGGAGATCTTTTTGCAATTCACTATTAAAGGATTGGGGTGTGCTGCTCCATATGCAGTCTTATTTTCCCCCAAAATGAGCAAGCTAAACTACAAGTTCTTCTTCAAATGCTTGCTCATGTCCCCTGCTTGCTAGGGGTGTGTGCACTGCATTCACAGTTGCCGGAGATTTTTCCCTCAGTGGTATCCATAGGGCCTGCTCTAGTGCTCTCTGGTGCTCCACACCCTCTCAGTTCCTTCTTACTGCCTTTGATGGTTGCTGTAATGACCCCTCTTGCTGTGGCAAGGTTTCTTTCCCAGTGGTTGAACTTTCTCTGTTCATATTCTGTATAGTTATCATAGTTAATGTATATAGTTCTTAGTTAGAGTTAGTGTATATAGTAGTGTAAATAGTTGTTCCTGTTGTTAAGGCAAGTCCCGGTCCCCGGGCTATAAGCCGTGTACCTCTTGCGGTAAGCTGATACCAGTAAGTGACACACACGTTAGCTGTCCAAAGTGTCTGGGGGAGTCTAACGTCAAAGAGAAGTGCCAGATCTGCAGGGACTTCAAACCTCATACCAGAAAGGACAGGGACATTCGGCTGAAGGCCATTCTCATGGAGGCAGCCCTCAGACCAGTCTAGGAGCTGAACCGCTCTGAATCAGAGCTTAGTATTTTGGCCCCCATGTGGAGCCCTCCCCTGGCACCGCATTCTTCCCAGCACCATTCTCCATCCCCAGTGCCAAGGAAGAAACGTAAGAAACAGTGCATCAAGAGAGGTCATTCTCCAGTGACAAAGAGAGAAAGGCGGAGACAGACTGATGTAGTGAGACATACATTGGGCCACTCATCTTCCCCTGAGCCACTGATGGTGCTGCAGACTCCGCCCAGAGCGCCAAGTCCAGAATGGGACCCTCCACCAACTGCCTGGAGCAGCCTTTGGGCCAGGCGTTTGTTCATCCCTTTTCTCCCGGAGGCCTTTCAGATTGTGAAAGAACTGCTGTCCCTCCCAATACCGCTAACCCCTCAAGGACCCCCTCCAGCCAAGGTGACCGGAGACAGAAGGGAACAAGGTCCGGCAAGCTCCTTCCCGGTACCAACCACTGTGGCACTGTCCAGAGGCAAGCCCTCCATGGTACTGATGCACCGGTCACTGTCCTGACACCAGTCCTCAGTCTCTCGGCACTGCCCAGTGGCTGAAGCAGGTACTGCATTGCCATGGTCTCCAGATGAAGAATCCTCTTCGGGGTCCAAAGTCTTTGGTACCAAAGTCTGTCCCAGCCTGGAGCCTCCTCCTGCACCCCAAACCTTTCATCCCCGGCCCCACCCCAGAGCCTGCACCCCCAGATGGAGCCCTCACACCCCCTGCACCCCAACCCCCTGCCCCAGCCCAGAGCCCCCTCCCACACCCTGAACCCCTCATCCACAGCCCCACCCCAGAGCCTACACCCTTGGCCAGAGCCCTCACCTCCTCCTGCACCCCAACCCCCTACCCAGCCTGGAGCCCCCTCCCACACCCTGAACCCCTCATTTCTGTCCCCACCCCAGACCCCACACCCCCTCCCATATCCCAACCCCCTGCCTCAGCCCAGTGAAAGTGAATGAGAGTGGGGGAGAGGGAGCCACCGAGGGAGGGGGAATGTAGTGAGCGGGGGTCAGGACCTCGGGGAAGGGACGGGGTAGGGGGCGTGGCCTTGGGGAAGGGGCAGAACTAGGGTGTTCGGTTTTGTGGGATTAGAAAGTTGGCAACCCTAAGACAGATGGTGATGAGCTAAAGCATAAGATCCATGTATGGCTGCGACCTTTAACGTAGAGGATGCGTTAAAGCAGGTTGGCATAGAGGCTTTCCTAAGTTCATACCCTTTTAAACTTAACAGGTATACCACAACTTGGAACTTGGAAAGAACTGAAGTAACCAGTTAGGACAGAAATAACAAATGTGATACCTAACCACAAAAGGGCCATGGTAACAAATGGACATTCGGTGGGCATTGGCTTTTTATATCAAATGGATGAAGCCATTTTGGAAATTGAACTAGATGTTTGTTGCAGTAGCAGATAGGATGAAGGGTCTTCTGGTGTCTTCTCAAAGAATTTCTTTGTGGATCACCTCCTGCATTCATATATGCTATGACTTGGCAAAGGTGCCAGCCCCCTCACTGACAGTGCACTCCACAAGGGCACAAGCGTCCTCAGCAGCATTCCTGGCGCAGATTCCCATACAGGAGATCTGCAGGACCACAACATGGTCATTAGTTCACACTTTCATCTCACGCTATGCTATCACACAGCAGGCCAGGGATGATCCTGCATTTGGCAGAGTGGTGCTACAATCCACAAATGAACTCCCATTCCTCTCCTAGGAAATGCTTGGGAGTCACTTACTTGGAATCGACATGAGTAAGCACTCAAAGAAGAAAAAACGGTTACCTACTTTTCGTAACAGTTGTTCTTTTAAATGTGTTACTCAAGTCCATTCCAAAACTCACCCGCCTATCCCTCTGTCGGTGCCAGCCAGCAAGAAGGAACTGAAGAGGTGGCAGGTCGGCAGGGCTATATATGCAGTGGCATGATGGCCCGACTCCAGGGGGTGCCTGAACGACCCAAAGGATATCGCTAGGGGGGAAACCTTCCATAAACTGTGCACGTGGTATGCACACACCTACTTGGAATGGACATGAGCAACACACCTCAAAGAACAACAGTTATAAAAGGTAGATAACTGTTTTTTCCTCAGAGGGGATCATGAAAGAGCCAACTGTGTAGTATTGTTCACAGGAAAATCCTTTTTGACAATAACTCTTGCAGGCAATTATCTTATACCCTAAAGCATGAGATTTAATTACCTTTGTTTTTATTTTAGTTTGCATAGTTGCAAATGTTAATGGAAATAAAATTATCCAACCCTTTAAAAAATCCAGCTCCTGAACAAGTGGACTGTATGCTGTATTAGTTAATTAGATCAATCAAATAAAATCTGTCAGGTATAATGATATTTTTACTTGCACTGTATTATCCAGCCATTAGATGTGTCTCTGGGTACATGTAAACTCAAGATGGAGCTAGCGTGCTAAAAATAGAAGTGTAGCTGCAGTGGCAGAAGTAAGGGGATGGGCTAGCTGCCCCAGGTACAAGTTCTGCCTGTGACCCAAGGTATG